GGCGCTGTTAGCTGATGACCGAAAGAGTAATTGCCTAAATTGTCTACAATGATAATCCAGTATCAAAAACCCTCCCTGGAGGTTGGTTTTATTGGTCCTCCAACATCTGTGTACACAGTTTGTATAGGGCGCTTGGCTCGGTTTCCTCCAGTGGACTCGAAAGGTAATTTCTTCATCTTTCCTAAAACACAAGGTTCACAGAACTCTGGGGTTCCCGTCAGGGTGTCTATGTCCTGGAGCTGTTCTTTTGTAACCATTCATTGTAAGCAATCCATTCCAATGTGTCCTATTCTTCTGTGCAATAGATTTACATCTACTGCTGCAAAAGCTGACTCCAAATTGATTTTGGGTTTTGCTTGGATGTGATACAGTCCTCGCTTGTGTAAGGCAGTGAGGATGAGTTTTTTCTTTTTCCAAACTTCACAAGCATTGGACCCTGCTGAAAAAAGTATTGATAACCCCGTTTTAGACAATTTGTGGATGGAGACAGGTGCTAAAGTGAAGTTTGGCACAAGTAAGACATTTAACAGTGTAGTATTGTAGTCTTTTTTATCAACAGTTGCTTGTAGGATTACTGTTCCAATTCCAATGGCATTTACAGAGGATTCATCCCCAAAACTGATTGTCCTCGGAGGGTTCAGAACATGGTATGTTCCTGGCTCAAAGCAGGAGCGGTGAGGGACCATGTGAGATGTTGCTCTGCAGTCAATGATAATTGTTGTTTCGGTCTTATCAGGTTCCGACACAAGGTAAGCTTGAATGTGTTTAGCAAGGGGCTTGGAAATATGTACATGTTCCAATGCAATATGACTCTGTTCCTCCTTGGAGTCAGATACTGTTACAATAACACAATTTTCAGACCTTTCCTTTAAATTTTATTCTTTGCTTTAAATCTTTTACTATAGTTCACACTCTGTGCCATGCAGCACATTCCTTTTTGTTCTAACTCCACTTTCTCGCGCAACACTGCCTTTTATCTTCTTTTAGACACAAAGTCTCTCATGCAGTGGAGCTGATCACACGGGCTGTGCCCTCTGACATCATCAGCCACTGCTTTTATCAACTGTACAGTACATAGGTACAAACACTCTGTATTAGTATAAATACCCCAATAGATCAAGGAGACTCCTCAGCGAGTCCTCCTGTTGTTAACCAACAAACTCTCTGCAGCCTAAGGGGTAACCACTCCCCATTCACTACCTTTATAGTGTGTGCTCTTGTGCGCCAGAGTAACTAACTCTTGGTTGTTACAGATACAGATGATTGCTCCACTATATTTGCCTTTTCCTTCTCTTTTCCTTTATCCCTGTGCTTCTCCTTTCCCTTCTTCTTTTGACCTTTCCCAACTAACTGAAGTGTTCAACACTCCGAGGTGTTGTGCAATTTGACTTTGTGGAAGTCACACCATTTCTCCTTGGACTTAAGTGCTGATTCAGAACCTCCAGGAGCCTCTCCTGACTGTTGTACAACTTCTGCAGTGATCTAGATCTCAACTGCACCAAAGATAAGTTTATTTTCTTCAATCGTGTTGATTACCGATAACTGAAATATTTGCCATTCAGGAGTGCATGGGAGAGATTGGAGAAGATTGAAGGCCATGAGTTTGGTATCAGTTGTGACCCAATGGAATGTTGAGTGATAAATCAGATGATGAAATCAATGGTTGCAACTACTTTAAGATTGTGGAACCTTAATTCTGAGCTTCCGTTGTTACATCTTGGTTAAGGGCCTCTGACACTATTCATGCCATCAATTGCAAGATTTCCCAAGATAAACAAGGTGCATGGCCCCACCTTTGAGTTGCACAGTCAAAATACAGTTTGAGCAATATTTTTGTACCTGGTCTCCCCATTGATGCTTATCGTAACTTGTGGCTCTCCATGCAAAGCAATACTCACAGATGGTTCATAATCCATTCTGAGGAGGAGGAATATGATTTCAGCCATAACCCTCATAGATATTACTGTAAGCACTATCATATTAATACACATATGATTTTCCATTCAACACCGCATCACCTTGTTCAGGTTTTTGACATCAAATATTACAGATATGTCTCAATTCATGACCAAGTGACTTGTAACATAGGAATTTTTATATGACGTCTATGTCAGTCTGGTGTATGTAATTAAAATCATGAGTCATAACTAACTTAGGGGGCATGTGTGACGCAGGAACCATGTTCCTTTCACGTTGTAGTGCAAGAACAACTTGCAATTAATGATTTTTGATGCAGAAGCCAAACCTTATTTTACATGTTGATGGGGCTGTTTCAGAAGCTCAAGTCCACGATGCATATGCCCATCAGTTCAATGAGCTTAGCTCCTAGTCACATTACTCTATCATTGGTTTTGAGTACTCAGAAGGAGTTTGTTTTGGCTTAGGATGATGTATGTATACTGATCATGATTAGTATCTTATCTTATCAGCTCACAAAGTTTGCTTAGCCTTGTAGGTTTGTACATCACATTTCTAACATGTACTCTGATTCCAGCTCGGAGGAAAATCAAAACAGCAGGGAAACCTTATATTGTGATCATACTAGCAACTATACTGATAAAACACATCTATAATTAGGCCTACGACACCATCTTCACCATTGTACACCTTTTCCGACAAAGCTAGATCAACTTCAGTACAAGACCGCCGGAGTAGTGATGATAAAGAGCTAGCTACAGTGATGAACAAAATATCTGTCATGCAGGAATCCAAACCAATGTACGAGGTCCACCTTCCCCCCCAATTCAATATCATTGATTTAGAATATACAGTCCAAAACATGCACAAGATGGTCATCCCGGCTTGCCAGTTCATAACAAACAACCCTTCAAATCAAAGCAGGATTCTGGATCAACATGCTGGTTTACCTCGTCATCTCAAGCATGGTGACTGCCCAACGTACAATCAAAGTGCTGCAATATCTATGTGCAAGAAAAAGGACTTGAATTCTCATGTATAAGATAATGATCTTGCCCCGCCAAATCAAATTAGGGGCAAGCTTTTGAAGGGATATATTT